TGTAACTATTCCGACGAATCGAAGAAGAACCCTAAAAGTGGGAACCGCCTATCTTATGGAATTACAGTGCACAAAAAGCACCAAGCTGATCGGGATATCAGTTTAAACTTTTACATAGAAGCATACCAACTAATGATATCTTACTTAAAATAGGACGAAAAGTAAAAGACAACTGTACCCTCTGCAAAATTCCTCAAGGACAGTAATACATCCTTTCTGCTCATGTCATGTTACATAATATTTTTGAAAAAGCGTGACTGATTGGCTACAATACGCTCTTCTGATAAACGGCAAATACACCTTATTGAATGTCACCGTATGAGGCTTGAGGCCGGAACCCAATTCTACAGAATACTCGCTTGCATTTAACTACTGTCTCCTGCTATCACGGTTTCATATTTGGCGAGCCAAAATAAATGAGACATTGCCTATTTTTTGCACATTTTCTACGATTGGTTAATACAACATGTATAACAGAGAAAACAGCAGGGAACACCAAAAAGGAATTTATATAGCTCTTCTTGGTTCCCTTTAACCTGACGGACAGATACCGAGAAATATGTTGAAAAATTCGTACATCTGTATATAAATACTAGATATAACTGTTTAACTTATGCAATCAAAGTTCGTTCTTTGCTCCATTACTTACTTAAGTAGTCGAACTGTGCTTACTTTTTACTTTCTGTTCTAATTTTTGTTGTAGTTTATCAATGGAATATAATAATCATAATCAAGAATGAAGTTAATTATTTTAACTGCGTATTCGATGACAAGAAGGATCTAGGGAAACAGCCTCATCCTTATTTATTTTAGTTCCTATTGTTGATGCTTGTCGTTATAGTGCTGACTTTTGTATCAAAGAGGAACGGTCCAGCTAAATCCGGTTGTAAAATGAATTGTCTTATGCAACCACAACTCAATCCCGCAATCTAAACAACAATTTGCGATTGTTTCTCCGGTATTGTCTTTTCTAGGGGTTAGTGGGGGGGGGGAGGGTATTAGGAGAACGTACAAAAGTTGACACTTTAGCGATTGGACTGGTTGCACTTTCTTCCCCATCATTAAATAAAGGTATGAGGTATTTTTTCTGGGGGTTAGGGGGGGGGGGGAGGGTATTAGGAGAACGTACAAAAGTTGACACTTTAGCGATTGGACTGGTTGCACTTTCTTCCCCATCATTAAATAAAGGTATGAGGTATGGCGTATTGTCAAACGGTGTGCGCTTGTCTTTTTCTTGTGAGACGAAAACTATGAGGGCCTTTTTGTTTTATTCTTGGCGTGCGTTGTAAGGTCAGGAGTACATAGACTTTTTTCCCCATTTGAGAAAGATATAACTTCACATGCGTGTTAGCAAAAAAAATTGCAGCTCAGGGCATGAACTGATATTAGTTAATTATGGATCCATTATTGACCCTGCGCTAAAAGACCTTAAAATTCGAGAACACATTAGAACATGTCCTATGTCATTGCAAAAAGGTCAACACTTTCTGGAATAAGCTAAGTATCCTTCTTTAGACAAAAAAAAGAGTTTTCACTAAAATGTTTACCAACTTCGATGTTAAAGATATTTTATTTGGAAAGTTTTGCTCAAATAACAGTATGACGAAATTAAGTACTTTATTACATCCATTTGGAAACCACAGGTGATCCTTGCAATCTGATTGGCTCAGAACGATGTGATCTATTCACTAATCGTACTATTTTGTGCTCTAAATCGCATCTTTTATTCAACCAATGAGAAAGTAGCACTTAAACAAAACAACCAATCAGATTTCAAGGATCATTCACAGTAACCAATCAAATTGGAGGGTGGCAAACTTTGTGCAAGTTTTTTTGTTGCCAAAACTTTCTTTTTACAAAGGCAAAAATGCGTGAATTTAACTATTCACAGTTTTCTAATGATGATGGTGAGCTCCTTGAGGCTGAAGAAGTACTTTTAGGGGAGTTTCCGACATTCAGTGTCCAGTTTGACGGGTATTTTGATAATTTTTTCCTCCTCATCTGCTCCGGATGCGTACGATCCGAAGTCCAGCAACAAAGAGACAAATCCACAGCCAACTCAGAAAGTACAAAATTTAGCTTCTACCAGGTTCCCTGAAATTTCAAGCGAAGAAATTGAAGAGCTCAAGGCTGTTGCTGTCAACAAAAATACCTCCCACTCGACAAAACAGTGGATGAATGTATTCAAAAGTTGGTGCCAGTCTCGTCATCTAGAAAATGTAAACATAGAAACAATGGCGCCGAAAGAGCTTGACAACATCCTAAGCAAGTTCTACGCCGAAGTAAGAAAAAGGGACGGAGATGATTACGAGCCGGAATCCCTTAAAATCATGCAGAGTGCCATTGAAAGGTATTTAAAGGAGAAGAATTATCCACTGAGCATCGTACGATCGAGGGAGTTTCACAACTCACAAAAAATCCTCCACGCGAAGGCAATTTCTCTCCGAAAACAAGGAGAGGGGAGAAGACCAAACAAATCTCAGCCGCTCACTTTGGAGGAAGAGTCTTCCCTCTGGGTAAAAGGTCAGCTTGGTGATTTCAACGGAAAAGTCTTGACCAATGTTAACTTCAAAAACTTGACTGAGCAACTTGGATTTAGAGGTCGTCAGGAGCACTATGACGCCTACGTAGAGGACTTCGTCATAAGACAACAAGAAGACGGCAGCGAAGTTGTAGAATTCCGCGAAAGTCCCACTAAAACACGAAGCGGTGGTCTAACAATATCGCGAAGAACAACACCAAAAGTTATGTATTCCACCGATGGCGGAAAAACTGATCCAGTGCGCCATTTCAAGCTTTGGTTATCCAAACGACCAGACGGAAGGAAAGATAAAGGGCCACTGTACCTAAGCATTGTAAATAGTCCCAAATCAAATGATATCTGGTACACCAAGATTAGAATGAAATCCATGGCCTCCTGTCTAAAGACAAACAAAAAACTGAGCAGCCACAGCATGAGAAAAACGTTGGTGTCCAAATTGAAAAAGTCTGGTCAGCCGCGCAACGTTATTTGTGAAATAACAGGTCACATCCACGTGAATCTTCGTTGGACGACTACGACGAAATAGACGAGAATCAACGCAAAGAACTGTCTCACATAATCAGCGGATTTAAAGTAGTGCCAAATGAAAACGGTCCCAACGACGTTTCCAATCAAAAAAGTACAGCTGCAAAGGCACCAACAATTCAAAACATAGTCCAACAGCCAGTCCTACACCAACGAGCACCACTGTTTCCTATTAATCCCGTCCAACAGCAAGGTCAAATGCACCAGGCCATGGAATTCCTGAATCCTGATTTTCAGGCTGCTGGTTTTGCAGGATTTCCGCCAAGTTGTCCCCCGCAGTTTCAGTACCACATGGCAGCGTTCGATTTGGAAATCACGCGTATGATTTCAGACCAAATTGCACTCCACTCAGTTCGATTACCATTATAAATCATTCATTCCTCTCGACTAGCCTCATATTAACACACGGCAAAGAAATCGTACCAATTCTAGCGTCTAACGGCAAAAACAATCAAACAAGCAATCTCCAATTTCTCAATACACAAAATGGGATGGTCTTTGCCTTTGATGGAACTTAAGCTATTGCCACAACTATTTCGACTCATGTAAATTTTCTTTTGTTTATAAAAGTTACTTCAGGTGCTGTTCGTTAAGTGTTCAGTATAAAAGTATAGCGTAGCAATGATGTTGAGCCGTGTTTTGGAACTGGAACTGAATTTTGTTTTCCTATCTTGCAAAACTAATGTCCTCAAAAATTTTAACAAAAGCAAGGGGTATCTGGGAAACTTAGTATATGTAGTCTGATTAGTCAACCATTATATTAACGTTATACTGGCTGATATTTTCAAAAAGTCGATCTTTATTGCGATTGATAATGGTATAAGTAATAGTCATAAACTGAACCATCAAGGGTTCTGGAGGGAAGATTACAAAACACTTAAGCCATTTTGCTACAACATGCAGGGCCTTGTTGAATTTCTTATTCTTACTATACTTGCTATTTCTTCTATAGATTTCTGACAGCGATGTCCTTTAAATCTTTTTTTTCCAAAGTTGCGAAAACAATTTGCTGGCAAATTTTTGCGAGTGTGTTCAATCCTGGACATAAGTGGAGACGGTTGAAGAAACCATTGCACTGTATACTTAAGGCTAGCATATTGCCTTATTTCATTCTTTTTATCATTTTGTAATAATTATTATTAAAGTTTAGTAATCGTATTTGGATCTGAACATTGTTTTAAGCACAAATGTCTAGCGGCAAATTTTGACGTCATGATAACAACACGCCCATGTACGCATCGATCCGCATGCATATGGCGGTTATATGACAAATAGAAAACCAAGACACTGATGACAAGCTGGAACGCAAGATGAATGAAAAGATATAGATTAAAGCGGACTAAACAAACAATTTACAGATGTTATAAGCTGTTTGAGTGAATAGAAAAAAATCTCCTTCAGGAAAAGAGAAATGGTGTAGGCTTCCCACATGCGTCCTTCTTTGCTCGAGATATTTGGCGAGTGCACACTTAGCCGGTTCCCCCCCAACTACCCTGCGCTTAGAGATCAGTAAATAATCGACTTTTCTGTTTTCATACGCATGCTCGACGATCTTCAACGGGAGGAAATGAGAGGTATTTGAATTGGTTAGAAATGGCTTTGGACTGTTGAGATTTCTGATTTTGATAATAAACTCGAGAGCAGTATTCAGAGTTCGCAAAAGTCACAAATTTATCCCATTTTCTTGGTAATTTTTATTTTAAATTAAATTTGTGGTTACTAATATTTTCACCGGTTTTTTTGTAGCCAGTAGCACAAATGGCACAAGCGACATGTACGTTTGCATAGGCTCCACGGTTTTTTTTTTTTCGTTCCCTTTCATAAATTCGAGGTTGAAAAACCCTGTTGGTTACTTTAATAGCAGTTTGTGCCCTAATACGGCTGGTTACAGTCACAGCCTTCAAGAAATTCGGATAGGTCCGCTACAAGATTTTTTTTTTCGATCGCGAGAACTAAAAGGAATTTCAAAGTATTTCAGCATGTCCTTGAGCATAGCAACGCTAAATTTTTCAAGTTTCTTATCGAGTGTAAATTCACATAAACAGTATGAATCACAGCAGATAGCTAAGGATGCTCAAGACCAAGGTAGGTGGCCACCTCTTCCGGGACGGCTCGTCTCTCCTGCTCTTCCTGTTCTGCCTGTACGTCTTCATTGACTGCTTCCTGATGTGCCTTACTTCTTCGCGAGGCCGCTAGCCTCGAAAAAAAACCCTGTACTTGACCCTTTGTGAGCCAATGTTTTCTTTCAAACATCCGAGAACTATCTGGGTTTCTTGCAGTTCGCATATCTGCTGCCACGTTTGGGAGTTCATTCTCCAAGGTCAAATTTCGTTGTTAGGTACTGTTTAACCTCGGTAGGAAAACGTACAGCTTCGTTTGTGTAGAGCCCATCCAGTCTGCAAGTCATTGCACTGGGGAGAGCGGCCAATTTCATTCTTTTCTTGACGCTCCTCTCCAACTGTTTCAGGCATGCTTCTGATATCGTCCTTATCAACAGTACGAAATTTCTCGCCCAGTCTCTTCTGAGCTTGTCATACACCGTATCAGAGGTGATTTTCGAGTTGACTGAATTTCTTGAAAACCATGTTGCACCCGGGCTCAGAACAAGAGAAAAGACCGTTGCGTTGTTCATTTTCACTGTTACTTTGCCTCTCTCTTATATACTCGAGCTTCTTTGAGTGGAAAGAAGTTCTCATGCACAATGAGGTCAGTAGGACCTTGAGGTTCAGTTATGACTTCTCGGTAAGGAATAAACCTAACCAGTCCAACACCATGAGCTCTCCATGCTCTAATTCCTTCTACTTCAAACTTGGAATTGTGATACTTGCTGAAACCGTCTATCTTATGTACTTCGAGTGTCTTTTGAGTCTCATTTATTGAGCACACGGAGGCCGTTGTGCCTTGAACAGGGCGTTCTGAGAGCGCTACACGCACGTCTTTGGCACAAACGATATCGCGTCCCTCATTGCAATATCGTCCGATGGATGACTTCATTGGACAAAGGATTCTATCACAGATATCTTTTCCATACTGAGGCTCGGAAAGGTCATACCGAGCTACTTCAATGCCTACTCGTGTTCCGGCATCTCTAACGACGGCTAAGAGAAAGTTATTGTGGTAACAGCCTGCTTCGTTACCCCTTAGGTTCACTTGGGTAATCTGGGGATGTTCCTCTTTTACAACCTCAAGTGTGTTTTCGATGATCGAGCACACTGCGTACCAGTCTTGCTGGCAAGAGTCGAAGATATGAGCATACCATTTCAGCTCCATATTTCCTGAGTAAACATTCCTAGTTATAAGGGTGGAAATATGCCAGCTCAGTCCCCGTTTGACGCACCATTCAGACTGTTTCTCACGAAATTTTATTTGGAGGAACTTCATGGCCCAGTCCATGGTCAGAATGGCTAACTGTGGGTCTTCTGATTTCAGTGCATCTTGTTTCGCCTCCTCCTAATTTACTGGATGCACAATGTGCGCTTTCTACAGCAAGATGTCTGACTGTGCACGGTCAAAGTCGTAAAGGATATCGTCTCGTTGTTCGGAACTGTAAAGCTTCCATGATGACACTTCAATCGCTAGTCACACTTCCTTTAGAACAATCTTCAGCCCTTGGCATTGCTCGCAAGTCAATTGATGCTGATGTGGACAAGGATGCTGGAGCTCGTGATCAACAGGATCACTAAGCGCAAACTTTCTACAGTGGTGAGCGCAGGTCAAGTAGAGTAATACTGTTGACAGTGCACACGGTAGTCACTTCTGAGATAGCGTTTAGCACCGCGTAGGTTTCGGCAAATACGTAGACACCACTGTTCTTCCATTCCTCCTTTCTCAAGAGTTTTAACCAGCGTCTCGATAGTCTGAAAGCCCTCAGCACCATTTGCAGCTGTATTGTCTAAGCCCTGGAGCGATTTACGCTGAGACGCTTCTCGAACTTCTAATATTTTAAACAGAGTAGACCTACTAAGTGGCTTGTGACACTGCTCTTTGCAATACTCCAAGTGTTGCTCAATCATTGTAGACCTGGTCAGGATCCTTACAACGTTAGGCATCTCCATTCTGTCACCATTATTTGGGGGGAGTACCTTGTTACCATATGAAACATGCTGATAAAAATATGGACTATTAATGAATTCTACAAAGTGGTCGACCTTCCCCATATCAAGGCGTGCACGATGCTTCGTCTTGATTTCAGGGATGGTCCCCGGGCCGTGCATTTTTGCACGAGAACGTGCTTGCTTTATTTCCCATGTAGAGAGACTTTCATAAGGTTGGTGAATTTTCTTCAGCTTGGTCATAGGGTATCTATTAGCGTAAAGGCTCAGAATCTGTTTCTTTAAATTCTTGGTCTTCGCGTTCTTATAAGCAGTCATGAGTACCACAAGATCATCGGGGGCTGATATATCAAATATTTCTCTTTGTACAGACATCATTGACTCGAGGAGCTTCTCCCCGTTACCTGGAGCAGCAGCCTTTCTTACAACTTTAACTGTTCCCCATCGCTTAAGTTTTGGAATGAAGTTTTAAGCTGATATTTAAGGGGCTCGACCGCGTTCTACTTTTTCTTGTGTAATAAGACTCGCAATTGTATCCATCGCCTTATACGTACCTACTGCTCGGTTACTACGAGATGGGAGTTCTGTGCCAAAGGAGCAGTAGGACTGTGGTGCATGGTACTGGCACTCATCAGCAACTCGGTTCGTTGTAGCCACATTGTAGTCTTTCCCGAACTCTTCCAACTTAGCATACAAGTGGGTATGGGAAATCAGACGTAAGGGGCTGAATCTTCGCATTGTAGCCTTTGTAAGTATCATGAAAAAGGAACACAATATTAAATTAAACAAGCAAGCCACACAAACTGTATATCACCAAAAACACTTAAAAGGTTAAAATAATTTTATACTGACAAAAACAAAATAGAAAACAGCACCACATTTTAAATAAAAAATTCACTAGGCAATTAGTCTTTGATGCTCCACTTTGACTTTTTAACTGTAATACACAACCAAAAAATCCTATACTACTAAAATAATATAGAATAATGCGTAAGCATCTTGATACAAGCAATTGACAACAACTCTCAATTCTCGGTTACTAGAACTCAATTTCAAAACGTGCCATTCCTTACCATCCAGTTGGAGTGATATCCAAATATACTAAGAAGTAGCTGTGCACCATTCATATAATGGGAGCAATTTCTAAGGCAAATGGCTGCTGCCATACCAACTGCCTGCTTCCACACACAGTTTTTCCGTCTGCCGTTAACACAACCGACCAAGAGAATTGCGTGAAGAAATGGGGCTTTTGAGGACAATTCTTCGTTGAATTTGTCAAAGGAAACTTCAACAATTTGTTTTTGTCCTGACACAGCTAGCGTCCTTTTTGGAATACATTGCAGTGCATTCTCGATCGATGCCTTTTAGAACAAGAAGCTGAAGTTCTTTCTTTAAAAATTGGCGACCGCCAAGTAGCACTTGCAATCTGCTTATAGGTACCCCTAATAAGCATTTTGGCAAGAGATTCCAGCTGCTCAGGTACTTTTCGATTCATCCTGTTTGATGGCCACTCTATTTGTACTTTCACAGATGTTGACGACGGCCTCTCGGTTGAACTTGCTGGCTTTTTTGGCGTCGATGAATACGTACAGCGGAGATGATGGCATCGGTAAAACATCTTGCTGCAGTGAGGTTACATTAAGACCTACAAGCCTTGGCCGCTTCACGGAAAAATCCGAGCTCGCTTGCAACTCTTTCGGCAAAAAAACAAATCCCGCTTACTCCACGCTTGCAGCATAATCCCTTCGCATGCATTCTTCCAGATCTTTAAGGTTCTGTTTTAAGTTTTGTCTTTTCTTTAGAATTCCAAGACAATGGCGACAAATGTACTTGGACACACTGTACACCGCGAAATCCAAATTCGCGAGAGCGACCTACACGTCGAAGGCACTCTTCTTGTTGGTTGTCACTAAGGCCTATTCTGGGACCTTAAGTCGCCTAAAATCGCCTTAAGTCGCCTAAAGTCGCCTTAGGTTGCCTTTAGTCGCCTTAAGTCACTTTAAATCGTTAAAATCTTAAAGAGGTTCAAATTGTCTCGTAGTTCAAGTGTACTTTTTTAGTTTTCTGTTTCCAGAACGCATGATTTCTGATTAAGTGTGTAATAACCCATGTTCAATAATATTAGCCACAGGGTAGTGGATTTTATGATTGGGCTGGTGAACTGTGTTTTTCACTTGCCTGGCTGGCAAGTAAAGCTTTTTAGGGAATTCAGATTACAGAAGAACTGGAATCAATCCCATTCATAAAAAAATGGGGCTTGTCAAAATGGCTTTCAGGCCAGTGCATGCTAGGTACAGCTTGCCGGAATAGCAAGCTGTAATGCTAAATTTCTTTGCACCCTAAACAAAATATAATTTAGAAAGTAAGTCTCTTTTCTACTGCTTTGTGAGAGTCCAACTTTGAAAGATATTCCAAGTAACATTATTAAAACAGGTAGGTTGTAGGGAGAAAAAAGAAAAACAATTATTGCCACCACAACAATAATCTAAATTTTGTGGTAAGTAGGGCAAACAAGTTAATTCAAGCCTAAAGGTCTATCGAAAATAATGTCCATGTAAATTACCGACCCAGATTTTAAGAGCAACCAATGATGAGTTATTTCCCCAGCACACAAGCTCCGATCGGTATTTACCGTCGAATTATATCCATCTATCATTGACAGAAACACAATCACTCTTATAAACTTGAACACTTAGCTCAGCTTGTACAGTCGTCTCTTTAGGTCCTCCCTTCCAGACAGAAATTCAAGCTTTGCACATCGAAGGTGGGTAAAACTGCGCCCTGTTTACGTTGGCGAGATTGCTCCCTGCCAAACGATTTCATGTAATCGATCATTATTGAAGAAGACCATAGAAAAGCGAAATAATACAGCTCTTTCCTCCACGTTATGTGCTTTGGTCACGTGACTAACTGGTCTGGAGGCGGGGAGAGGGCGGGACAAACAATGGAAATTAGCTTGCGACTGCACTGGAATTCTGGGAGAAGCATAATGGCGGATAGAAATGCGCTCTTCTGGTTGTCAATTGTACGTTGCGTTTTCGATCTCCTTTTAAATGGAAATTTCTGAGATAATAATGAAAACGTTTACACTTGGTACTGCCATCGGCTTAAACACGACGCATAATGCTTCCTTTTGTGCTGAGAACGAGGTTGGTTGAAGCTAAGCTTAGTTGTTTCTGATGGTGCATAAATGCACTCATGAAATTGCCCCGACTGGAAAGTTTCCAAAGAGACCATGAGAAGAGAGTACGGTTCACTAGCAAAGCATGTATTTGGAAGTGTTTTGTTTGACTGAGACATGAAAGGAGCAATATATACAGCGAGAACTACAAACCAAGAGAGGATAAAGGGGACAGAGAAGACATCCCTCATACACACCCTATTCCACAGGTAATTCGTCTCGAGTTATTTTTAAGACCACAGGTCCCAAGGAGGGTTAGACAACAGCCAATCACATAGCGCGAATGTGTTCCGCGTGGATGACCCACGCTCAGAGCCACGCGTCCTTCACGAATTGACGCAGAACAAATTGGCGAAAGACGCGGAGAGCGATATTGCTATTCGTTTTGTCGACGAAAACGACTACAGAGCGATTTCTGCTAAAGCTGTGTCAGCGAAACGGAAATTAAAAAAGAATCGCCCTTCCTCTCTTGTATAGAGCTAACAGTACAGCAGGGAAATCCTTAACACACTGAATATTCTCTGAGGATCATTTATAATTTACAGTTTGAAGAGAGCAATTTCTGGTTTGATATTTATTCTTTTATTAGTCTTTTATTATTCAACAAAAATAACATTTGGCGTCCTACTTGCTTTATGGTACAAACGACCGGTTTCAATAGACCGGCGAAATTTCTCATTTTATTAAAGCACTGAGGTTACGACAACTTCGAGTTAAAGTGATTTCACGGGTCGTCAAAGAGTCTAGCGATTCCCTTTCCCCAGGTGAGCGCCGACTCATTTCGCATCAATATTCAGGAATGCTCTCGATCTCTTTACGCTTTCATTGCCTTTCGCCCGACATGTTTTGCACGGCGTTCAGTCATGCGAAACCTCCACGAAACATCCACGCAGCGCGCGAGGTAACTTCATCCCGATTCTAAAAATAACTCGAGACGAATTACCTATGGAATAGGGTGTGTATGGGGGATGCCCTCTCTGTCCCCTTTATCCTCTCTTGCTACAAACTTTATATTTAGAATTCACTTGGAAAAACACCCTCTTTGCCAAACGTGTGAGGACAAACATTGGCAGAGCAACTACCGAGACATACAATGGGGATGGTCATTTCCATGATGTGCGATATCGATAAGTGATTTTAGATGTTTCAAATTAATTCCTTAAATGGTTGTTGTCAAATTATGAAAAAAGACACATCAATATAAAGTTTTTGCTACAAACCATCTTACAGTATTTTTTTTATTTTTCCATTGTTTCTGGGTGCGGTTAATGTATGCTAATGAAGTTAAAACAAAGGAAACCCCAAAGTTAACTGAAATAAAAAGTTAACTGCAACATATTCACTAACATGTAATTCACCTAAATGCCACCTTTTTCTCCTTAAGTCGCGTAAAGTCGCCTTAAGTCGCACAACATTTTGACTAAATTTTCCTAAAGTCGCCTTAAATCGCTTTAAGTTGCCGAAAATTACGGCGACTTAAGGTCCCAGAGTGGGCCATCACTAAAAATCGCTCGTTGGCTTTTTTGACTAAATTTTCCTAAAGTCGCCTTAAATCGCTTTAAGTTGCCGAAAATTACGGCGACTTAAGGTCCCAGAGTGGGCCTTCACTAAAAATCGCTCGTTGGCTTTCGTAATCTCTTTAAAACACAGTGTGCACTTAAATTCATTAATTGAATTGCAAATAAGCTCGAAAAAATAGCCCAATACACAGCAATAGATTATTATCCTTTGTACTTTGTACTTTGTTTACTTAAACAAGCTCGCCTCCTTCGCGGAAAAGTACAAAACTTTGCATAAATTGCATAAATTAGGAGTGACGTCACATAACACGATTCGTGCCAGCCCTTCGTAGACGCTCCCTCTCTCCGTTTTTCCTTTGTCGGGGGGAGGGTGCTGCTACACGTAGGCTACCTTCATTGCCAGGCCCTTACCATAAGATCTGTGGGCTTTTCGTTGTATCTGCTCCTGGTAAGCTGTGTATTTATGCTTGTCTCTATAGATCGAAAGCACGTGGAAGCCTGCCTACAGATGTCCCGCCTGCTCTTATCCAAACGAAAGTAACGCGAACTTTTGCCAAGCCTGCTGTGAACCTAAGTCGCGTGAGCCAACGCAAGGGACCCGTCCACAAGCAGACATGCCTTTGATGAACTTGGAAGCGCTTACAGAATTCCAAGAATCGCTCGGCGAAAGGATCCATTAGACGTACAGCTATCGAGTTTCTTACGCTCTCTTATACCGCCAAAGAAAGTTTCTGCTGCCATAGCGGAAGACACCGTAAAGGTTTTGATTAGCATGGATGCCGCGGGAAACCAAAAACTCCATGTAAGCTCATGCTCTACTAAGACTTGTAGTTGCCCTAAGCGTCTGGCGGCTGGAACTGTCGATTCATATATAGCGAAGCTTAGAGAGATTTTCAATACGCCAGGTTAGGCCGTACAGGGTTTTGTAACCCGTTGGCACATCCTTGTGTTAGGCTGTCCCTTTGTTCTTTCTATGACAAATTCACCCGTTTAATTGCCTATCTTTGCGGGCTTATAACCGAAGGCTCTGTGCTTTTTCCTCTCAATAGATACCTCCTGTGTCTGCCCGGTTTTTTGGTTGAACTATTATATTGCTGCATGTGGGGCGTTAGGTGTCCCGCTTCTGGGTGACAAACTCTTAAGATCCTCTGATCATAAAACGTTAGTGGCACATCGTCCGTTTGGAGGGTCAGCCGTATCTGCTCGACTCAAAAAGTATCTTAAGGCCGCCGGCATTAATGACGGAGAGACCCCTCAGCTTTCGTGTAGGGATTTCATACACCCTTAAGGGGTTGGGTTGTACTCTGGAGCAGATTGCCTTGTAAGTGGATTGGCGGAGAACAGAAATTTCCTTGTATCACACGCACCGCTCCAGTGCTTCTACTTCTTTGCAGTTGATAGAACGGGTTACACTCAATCTCACTTCTGTGGGCTCTCCACCCGCCCTGCAACTCTCCGACCAAGAGAATTTGAAGAGAATTTCGTATATTTGAATTATATCTTTCATGACTTAGGGAAATTCATTTAGGTACACTACGGTAGTTATTTATGTCATTTCTATTGGATATTTACTTGTTGTTAGTTAATAACTGAATCTTTATCGAGTTATGGATTATCGGGTGTTGAGTGTTGGGTATTGAAATTATAAGGTCGAGGTGCTGTTTGGGGAAGGACGGAGACCTAGGTTATAGCATACTGCCTCAGGGAATGGCAAGGAATGGATCTCTCTCCCATAACTTAGTTTCACGATGTGTTAAGTGTTAAGTTTTCAATTCTACATTTGTCCTAAACTTAGTCTTTCTCTTCCTGCTGCTAAATGCTAAACATAGTACTATATCCTCACTGTTTACCACTTAACACATCGTAAAACTTTAAGTTATGGGAGAGAGAGATCCGCGGATTGTTGTGGAAAGAGGTAGGCCGCAAGAACAGATCGCGAGATGTGTGGAGTTGTCAACCAACACCAAGGGAGGAGGGTGGCACAAACCTTGATAAGTCGTTTCGGCGGTCGGAACTGTGACACAGTGGAATGAAAGCCACGTGGTGTAGTATATTTTTGAGGGAGCCTGCGGTGCACTGATGCGTCCCTAAGCACGGCAGAGTATTTTACTGGTCGCTTCACGATGCGTTTATTAATTATTCAGTGAGAATAGTCTAGGGATGACAATTATGTGTTACGAGAGAGCAATAAAAAAAAATTTGGTTGGTCTTTGAATACAAAGTCAGGGAAAAAGCAGGAGTATTACAGACACTTAACCACTGATTTTTTTAAAAAGGTTTTAAACTGTAGAGGATGTAAATTTTGTAAAGGAGAACATGCAGGCTTTCTTTTTTGTTAATACTTAGAACGTTCATACGGCATTTAACAAGAAAAGATTTCCTTAGCTTTAATTTAGGGGCCAATCTGGATGATTATATATTGGTTTGAAGCTGATACCTAAAGTGCATAAATTGACAGAGAAAGCTGGTGTTGCGATGGAACCTTTGCTGGGCACGCTTTTCCCTTCCAAAGCTACGAAATGATTTAGGTGGTCTTTTCGTATTTCCTATGGTTTACAGTAAGGATGATAATGAGAGCAGGGGCAGGGTTGCCTTTATTAATCTCCTTTTTTATTTTATGGAAAGTAAACACAAAATTAAAGAATTTGCTTTGTACAAGGAGGCTTTTACAACAAAAATGGAAAGATGATTAATTGCAGTTTGGTAAAATAAATCCACATTATGATATTGTCTTTGGAGGTTGATTAACATACCTTACAAAAAAATCAATCAGTTTTACATCCATGATATCCCGCAAGGAAACCCCCCTTACTGATTTTACAAGCACCCTTTCCAGGAACACTTGTCGCACAAGTGCAATGTCCTTCCACAGGAATCCAAAGTAAGAAACAATGACCTGAGAGGACTAGCGCACAGCGGGCAATTTCCAAGAAGGACATGGTTGCAATATACCAGAATAGCCCGGAATATTTCACTGTACCCCTGATGAGAATGACAGACCTTGGCAGACTATAACTTTTAAATTACCATCAGTCTATGTTCCTGTTAACATTAGTGAGCTCACTAGAACTTAATAACAATGTACCATAGCTATTTCTCGATTTAGCTTCTTGTATCGTTGCTAAATGAGTATTTACCACATACTAATGCTACACATTTACATTTAAAAAAATCGAACCTATTTGTGGCTATTTGTCCCGCAGCTACACGTAGTTTACGCCCAATGAACGAATGCATGGTTATTTAACTACAGTGGCGTGGTTATTGAACTGTTGTGTAGTTATTGAACTAACGAAAAAGCTTACATTGAATCCATATGCTGGGCTATTCTGGTATATGGCAACCATGTCCTTCCCAGAAACTGCCCGCTGTACGCCACTTCTGTGAGGCCATTGCCTCAGGCTTTGATTTTCTGTAGAAGAACACTGCACTTGTGCAACAGGTATCCTTTTAGGTTGCTTATAAAATCAGTTAGTGCTGTATCCGGACGGGATATCATGGTTGTAAAACTCTTACTGTTTTTTTTGTGTGGGTGTGTGTCTGTGTGTGTGTTTTTGAGTTGTTGTTTTTTTGGTTTGATTGTTTGTATGTTGCTGTTTTTGTTTTTTGTTTGGCTTTAGCCTGCAGTGCAAGCGTTTTCTTCGGGCGCGCGAATGTTTTCCTCGCGAAATCGAAAAGAGGGGAGAAAATGGGGCGAGTCAAAAGGAGCGGGGTAGGGGGCGGGGAGAGAGAAGAGAAAACGCCTGCCCGAAAACACTGTGAAAATAAGCAACACCCACTAATTAGTCGCGTTTGACCGCTGTTCCAGAAATGAGTAGCCGACCAATCAACACCGAAGAACTATTGCACCGTAAGCTTCCTTCAGTTCTGATAAAATACAAATAAACACATCCTTAGTGTACCTTATGCAAGCTGCTAGTTGTTTACGGGAAGGAGAGTATTGTAGTCTGACTCGAGTGTCCGTGATTATTGTAGGTTATGTAGGATTTCTTTTAAAGTTAAATTTGGAAGCAATCTTGGAAAGCAAGGTCATTCTTCTTCAGAAAATCTGTTCAGGCCATCAAAACAAAAGGAGTGCTTTGGGGTTGTGTCACCCGAAATTTGAAAAGAAGTTGGATCGCCGTTTGTTCTTTTCATGCAATATTCTGATCGGGTCTGTAACCCATGTGGTCGGAAAATTTGTAACTTGGGCCAGTTATACCAGTTCATTAAAGCTGCCATTACATCCACGGCAAGTACTCCGCTTAAGAGCAGCAAACATACTCTTGACACGTCGGACAAAGCCAGCCCAGCATGGAGAAAATCAAAATCCGTGCGTGTAAATTCGCGCGCAGCAAAGTCACCCTCGATCGAAGGTTCCACGTCGGCTACTACAGGCAAATCAAGAAAGTCTCTCTCCTTTTCTCTTTTGGAGAAAATTAAAAAACCTAAAAACCTGATGTAGCCTTATTTTGACCTCAAAAGAGGTCAAAGAAAATGCTTTTGCACACAAAACTATCAAGCTGGGCCCAGCGTGATACAACATTGCAGGAAAACATCACATTCACGGACTGGACGAAAATCGCTTGGTTATTTAGATCCTGAGACACTTTGGACAAAAATAAAGGACCTAAAAGCCTTACCTGTTGAGCCACAAGAAAGAGCTTTACGTTTCGAAAGAGGTCAAAGAAAATGCTCTTTGCATCGGAGGGCAAATCATGCCGACCAGAAATTCAAAAACCACAGGAAATCAACAAGCGTGTCATGACCTCTCAGTGTGAAACAAACGGCTAAAATCACATTCGCTTAGTCAAAACATAGAACCCTCCAGAGCATAATCTACGCACCAGAGAGAAAAACGTATTGGAACAAGCAGCATTATGGCATGAGGTGAAAGTGGGGTAGCGTTTCAGTACTGCAAGCAAATCTTGTCTTGATGCGAGACAGTGTAGAAATTGCTTTGACTTTCTCATTGCTCAATAGACGCGACATTCCCAGCAATTCCAAAAGACTTGTTTCGACAGCAGAGTTAAAAATCGCTCTTATGTACGCCATTTCTGAATTCAGAATAATTCTTTCCCGCAGTTGCATGCAAACGAAAACGGAATAAACCATATAGACTTACAGTTGATTGACAGGCATCAATCTACTTCCCCTAAGCCGCACCAATCAGGGACTTCGTTTGCCAACGAACGGAGTTTCCTAACGGAACAATGATATCAGGCAGGCGTATTTTTTTCTCCCCTCCCCCTCCCCTCTTTCCTTCTTTTGCCCTAGCACATACCCTTAGGGTTACTATTTTTACTCTCCCTTATCTTCCTCCGTCATAACAAAGATGGCGGTTACAACAGTACGAACATAAACAAGCGGCTTTCGCCCGCCCAAAATACGCCCGCACTGCAGGCTAGTTTGGCTTAGGCCAACTTCTCTAACATCCCTTTAGGTTCTTTTAAATTAAGAATAAACATTAATTAATTGGTATATATATATATATAATAATAATTAAAACTTGTATAGCGCAACTTTCCATGGGACATGATCAAATGCGCGTTACCATAAGTTAAAAAGAAAGACTAAAAATGAATAAAATTTACAAGCAGGTAGAAAGATTTTAAAATGAAATAAAATAACAATAAGTGATAAATAATAAAATAAACGAAACAAATGCACTACTACAAATTAAAAACTTGTTTAAAAAGATATGTTTTCACATGGCATTTAAAATTTGACAGAGAGTCAAGGCTGGATATTTCGCTAGGTAGGTTGTTCCAGAGCTTTAGGCCCGCATAACAGAATGCTCTACCACCAACTGTTGGGAGTATCTTACCGCTTTGAACCTCAAGCATACTTTTTTGCTGGATCTGAGGGAATATCCTGTTGATTTCCTTCGGCTGATCAATTTGCAAATATAATCTGGTGCTATGCCGTGAATAGCTTTAAACGTCATAGGTAAAATCTTATACTCAGTTCGATACTTGATGGGAAGCCATTAAAGCTGAGATAAGAATGGTGTTATATGGCAAAACTTAGGTTGCTTAAAAATGTCTTGCAGCTGCGCTTTGAATTCTTTGTATCTTATCGATTTTTACCTGTGGCAATTCATAGAGTAAACTGTTACAGTAATCTAATCGGCTGGAGACAAACGCGTGAATCAAAGTCTCTGAGGAGTCACGCGATAGGTGTTTTCTTATCCGCCTGATGTTGTGGAGATAGTAAAATAATGCATTACAGACTTTGTTGATGTGGGAGTTCATTGACAGCTTGTCATCAATGTACGAGCCAAGGTTCCTAACAACTGACGATTTCATTATAGCAGAGTTTCCCACGGTGATCGAACAAATCTTAACTTAAGATAACTATTGCCGGGTGCCAATGACGAGAAATTCCGTCTTTTCATCATTGAGATGGAGTTTGTACTGTTCAATCTATGAGCAAATGTCGTCAATGCAATTTTGCATGGCAGTTATAGCATCTTGTAGACTTGACAAGTCACTGGGGTTGAAGGAGAAATATATTTGTGAATCATCCGCATAACAGTGAGAATTTGGAAGGTGACGTTCAATGATGTTAAATAGCTTTGAAGAGTAGATGATATGCAACAAGGGACCAAGACAGGACCTTTGTGGAACGCCCCAGTCAAAAGGAATACTGTCAGAGAGGGCACCGAGAAGGGAAACACGTTGACCTCTTGCTGACAAGTAGCACTTAAACCAATCTAATGGTACTCCAGAAATTCCAAATGAAGTTTGAAGTCTACCCAACAAAACATTATGATCATCAGTATCAAAGGCAGCGCTCAAGTAACACAAGTAGACACCATGCTGAGAATTCATTTCCATCAGAATGTCGTTAGTAACTTTCAAAAGTGCTGTTTCTGTAATATGGTCCTTTCTGTAGGCAGACTGTAGTGATGGGTAAAGATGATGTTTCTTCATGTGGTTGTCAATTAGAAGAAACACAGCTCTCTCGGTTACTTTTGAGATGAAGGAAAGATTGCTTACGGGCCAATAATTCTTGAAAACAGTGTCAAGACCATTCTTCTCAATTTAGAAGCGGTCGAACCAAAGCCTCTTTCCATGCTGAGGGAAAATGGCCACTTTCAAGTAAAATACTAACCATTTTAGTTATGACCAGTAAAGAGGACATCAATGCACTTGACCAGCAGGGGTGTAGGTATGGGATCGAGAGCAGACGATTTCTTGGCCAAATTCATGATAATGCTGTAAGTTTCATCTTCTGTAATTGCTTTAAAGCTACCAAATGACGGACAATGTAGTTCCATGATGGGGGCACAATCTTGACAATCCTGAATTGTACACTCATGGAATTAAGATCTCATATTACTGATCTTTTCAACGAAGAAATTTGTTAACATCGATTTACTTACGTGCGGAGGAAACGGAACATCGAAGATTTGATTTACAACTGCTTTGAGATCTTAAAGAGCTTCCCTTGATCCGAATTATTTTCTTGAGTGAGGTTCTCATAGAAGTCAGAACGTGCTTATGTTAACTTAAAGTGAGTGGAGGTGGTTAAGGGACAAAGCCAGCATTTTTTAACTTAGGTAGAGACGATTTGTAAAGTAGGAGAAATTTGTTGTGCTTGCATCTTTTTCTTGCTACTTATATTTATTTAGAAGCCCATATTGAAGTTAATTGTTTGTTCTATTTCATCTTGAGTTCTGTTAGTACGCAATTGCGGATTTCAATTTACCAAGTGTTGAGTATCGGTTTTTTTTTCTGTTTTCGGAAAATCTTGGGTATTTTTTCTGTTAGTAAATTGTGAACTGTTAGAATAATTGTGTACGTACTGACAAATGACGTTGACTTATGAGGACGTTTCTAAATTGATTACAGAATAAAACAAACTGAATTTTATAAAATGTCAGGAGCTGATTCAGGACCTAGCAAAATGTATAGGAAAGGTGCAACATCCTTCCTTTCTAAGGGCGAAGACATTCACTTACCAAAATTCTCAGGAGATTCAGCTGAAGATGTAAAACAGTTTCTGAGACAGCTTGATCAAACGGCAACCTTTAATAAATTTACAAATGTCCAAAAGGCTGAAGCTCTTTGTTAACTGGCAACACAAATGTTTGGTTCTCAGCACCGGCGCATTTGGCGGGCAAAACCTATGATCAACTCTGTGAAGCACTGATCAGGCAATTTCTTTCAGAATCAGATATCTGGCTGTTAAGACAACAACTTCTAAATAAAAGGCAAACTGAAAATGAGAGCGTAGCACAGTTTGCATCCGAAATACGAAAACTCTGCTTGCGCTTAGATCTATTAGTCGAGGAAAGCGTACATTTCGTTATAAACGGCCTAAAACCTGAATTAAAAAGCTACGTACTTTTACAGCGACCAAAAACATTTTTCGAAGCACAGACGTTTGCAAAACTTAAGGAGGCAATACCCCTCTACGAAAGTCCTCTATACAGGACAGAGGAAATTTTAAGCGCGTTATCAAAATTAAAATCAACTGGTGAACTTAAAGTAGCTGCATATAATGAGCAGTTTGCGACCGATAACACAGAAAAAAGTTCAGAGACGTGTTTGGGAAGAGAAGAAATCACTCAGATAATTAGACAAGAACTGCAGTCGCAACGTTTCTCTGGTAAAAGTAAAGAAGCAAATAAAATTTGCTATTATTGTGGCAAAAACGGCCATATTTTACGTTTTTGTCGGAAGCGCCAAGACGATTTGGGTGGCGCCCAACAATACACCTATAGGCAATATTTAAACTAAATTCGATCTCCCTTGATCGGGACAAAGGAGTGATCGAGAAAACCAATAAATCTTTTGCAATATTAAACGATAACGCCGCTAGTGTCAATGAATTCAATTTTACCTCAACTAAGGCTGTTAATGACTCATGGCCTATGCGGTCATCTCCACAACCAAAAATTAAGAAAACCCAAGCTGAATGGACTGCGCGTGGGTCTGTTGTCGCGAAGAGACCCACGAAAAACTCCAATGAGAATGAAAAAACTTAAAGTACACTGAAATTTTGTCCGTTGAAACCAGCGCAAGAACTTTTAAAATGTAATAGACAAAATAAACTGGGGCAAAACAGCAATTACCAGTCAGTGAAAGTTCCTCCAGAGAACAGGATTTTATCGCTAAATTCAGTTGCAAAGTTGCAAGTGCAAACGCAAGGCAGTTCAGACAAAAATAAATGCTATAAGTGTCACTGAGAATAAACATTTCAGTTACATTTATAGCGGTATTCCCCGTGTTCGTAAAGAAATTGATAGTCTTGAAAAACGAATAAATAAAACATTTTCTAACGTAAGACAACCTGACGCTAATATTTTGAATGTGATGAAGAATTGGAAACGCCAAGGAGCGCTATTGTTGAAAATTATTCAAATGCTGTACTCAAGAAAATTAAAATTTGTTTCACGATAAGTAAACCCTCGCGACACAAACGGACTACTGAAATCGAAACTGGAAATTTTAGTGGTTGGACAACTGAGAAAGAAAAGTCTGTAGTAATTGCGAAAGAACTGGAGCAAAAGTTTCAAACAGTAGAGCCACACGAGAGCGAAATTATCTTCGAAACAAATCTTTTTGTTTTTGAGAGACCCAAAATTTCATGTTACCAAATAGAATCGTATATAGGGTGTAACAAAGTGGAACAGCCTGCATTGCGCATGAATATCATAAATGGTTTACAAAAGCCTCTTGATAAAATTTCTCTTATAATTCGTGGTTTGGGTTGAGACAATTTTTATTATTACGTGCTTACGAGAGATAAATATAGGATGGAAAATTGTAACCTTGAGTTGAACTCAACCTGAGATAGGACACCGAGCGGAAAATAAATAAACAAACAGAACTTAACATTAGAATTAAGAAAAGATTAAATTATGTTAAAGGTTAAGCTATGCTAGTATAATTTATTCAGATAGTTGTTAAGCTGAGATAATCGTAAAATTGGCTGGTGTTCCTTAACCTTTAACTGCCCTCACTCAATTTCAAGACTTCAATTGAACAAGAGAGAATAATCATGACTGAACCATTCCGTTAATATAACAGGGAGATATATTGCCA